CAGGCAATCCACTCACCTCAGCCTCCCAAGGGCGCGGGATTACAGGCTGAGCCACCGAGTCCGGCTGGTCGATTATTTTTTGAGGTAATTTTAGTTATACCCATTTTTACATTCCCAAAATTGCTATGTGTGCCTTAATCTCCCTTTTGCTTGATTAATTTTACCAGACTTTGTAGTCTTTTAAAGATCATATTATTGGATTTGTATCTTCTCTATCAATATCCATTTTCAATCTCATTCATTTATATTTGTATCAATTCATATATTTGTGTTTTCCTTTCTTGTGCTTTCTTTTTGGATAAGCTGCTTCAGTACCTCTATCATGAAGTAAACACCTCACACGGCCCTAATAAACTTAATTGACTGAAAAAATGCTTAATTTAAAGGCGCTAGACATATATGGATCACAGTCCTGGCTCTATTTCTTTCTAGTTTGGATATCTTGGTTTATTCGCTGATGACTTGAGTCTAGTATTTTAACAGAGATGAAAACAGACACACACAAGAAAGCTGAATATCCTAGATGACATGTGTTTCGTATAGAATCTGTATAACCATTACCTCCTTTGTCCTGACCAGTAAGTTGCTACCAATGTAATTCTAGGTTATATTAGTTTTGCTGCCAATCATTTCACAAACCAACACCTACTTAAATTACTGTTAAGTAAATTTCTTTATTTGTCCTACAAGTTGCTATTATTTTTCCTGCAACTTGCTTGGTTTACTCTAGGTAGCAAATCTTCTTCTTTGTCCTACTCCATTGCCAAATCCTCCTTGATGGGATCTGATTTATGGAATAAAAAAATCAATCACAGTTGATTTATCCTATTTACTTTTACAACCAAGCCATTCTTCACGTGTGTAACGATCTTCTTAATTAATCATTTAATCCAAGACTTAAATTGGAGGGTGATTTGGATGAGGGGGAGGGTTTTGAATGGTTTTGAGGAATGTGGAGCAGAGAAATCACAAATACAAAATATGCTGCTAAAGGAGAGTGGATTATATTTGTTAGTGAATTTTTGCTTTTTTTAAAAAACAAGATTAAAATCATTTTTTAACGCACACAAACCCCAACTCAAGAGTCATTTCTGAGCAACCTAATCCAAACAATTTTTTTAAAGATTTTTGTTTAGGCTGGGTTCGGTGACTCAGCATTTAATGCCAGCACTTTGGGAGGCCAAAGTGAGTGGATTGCCTGAGTCCGCAGGTTCGGGACCAGTCCGGGCAACTTGGTGAGAACTCATCTCTAAAATTACGTGGGCATGGTAGCCATGCCTGTAGTTCTGGCTCCTGGGAAGGCTGAGGCAGAAGGATCGCCTCAGCCCGGCAGGGCGAGGCTACGGTGGCCATGGGCATGCCACTGCACTCCAGCCTGGGTGATAGAGTGAAACTCCAACACACACAAAATTGTTTTTGCTACGCTTACAGCATCAATCGCAAAGTATTTGTTGAGTTCCTTTTTATGAGACAAAAACTACCTTAACCTCTAAATCTCAAGCATCAATCTCTTCTTCAAATTCACAGCTTTAATTTGGGATCTGTGAGGTAGAACTGAAAGTCAAGTAAGTACAACAAAAGAGATTACCAGAGATTACTTTTAGAAGCCAGATGCTATTATGTTAGCAGACTCTCTTAATGTGCATCTTAAACTAGGCCATAGGTACTCTTGGCAGCTACATGAAGTGATTTAAAAACTTCTCTAAGTTAGAAGCAGAAAGACAGCATAATGCAGTAAAAAATAACAGTTCTTGGAAAAGAACAAATCATATAAGAAAGATTCATTTAATAATGTTCAGAGACAGAATTTCAGACCTTAATGGTAATGTGGGAACAGTAGACAGGCCAAGCCAGCTTCTCTGAGAACTTTACAGATGTGGAGAGAATTGCTTTTGGAAGCTGCACTAACTACTTCAGACCACTAGGGTAACCTTAAGTAAATGACTATTTCGATGTTCCAGTAGCACTTAGCTTACTAAGGCAGTCAATTACCCAACTCCGATATTCCCAGACTGTTTCTGAAAGGCTGCAGCCTGCAGCAAACCAGCAGGATGCTTTGTCCTCTAGCTTTTCCCACTCCTCCCTGGTTGCTTAAACAAATGCCCCCAAATCAAGCCGTAACATGTGCCAAGCATTTTGAAAATGAAATGCGCCTACTACAGCCCTTTGGGTGTCTGATTTAATTCTCTTCCACTATCTAGAATGAGTTGGGAAAATTAACACTTGATGGTGCCAATTGTTCCCAATATTCACTCACATGTAAGAAAAAAAATCAAGATTGTTGTTGAGGAATTAATTCATAGTCGAGATCATGGGAATTTTAAAAATAAGAAGTATGAAAATGTGATAAGTTTTCCTAGGTCTCATTCATTACCCAGGTATATACTTATAATCACTTATTTATACCTCATTCTCCCAGAGTAAAAATGTTTTGCAGGATAAAAAGTACTCCTTTGCTAACTTGGCTAGTATTCTTGAGTTTTATTACAATCAGGCAGACTTCTATGTTAGCAAAATGTGTCCCATGTGAGAGTACTTTTATTATTTGGGATTCGGCTCTTAAAAAAGTATAACAGCATGTGGCATCTCCATTATAAGAGAGTATGCACAGTGTATCTCCCTTCTGTTACAAGAAGCCGTATAACCAAACATCTTGAAAAACGTTGGAAAATTTGTATCTACATATTTAGAAAAAGCTAATAGCATCTCATAAATTTTATTTTATTTTTTTACTTAGGAATTAACACTAAAAAAGCAGAGAAGGGATTATGAACCACAGCCTACTGGCCACAGAGTAAACAAAATCCAGTCTTTAAGCAGTTGCACCCATATCTCAATATACTATTTCTATCAGATTCTCACAATGGCCCTGATTTGAACAGCAATTATGGGTAAAGAATTTAGTCTCAACTATTTAGAAAAGTGGCTTTATTGAATTTACAAACAAAGCCCTACAATTTTCCATTTCCTTAGCAAGATAGTAAATCAACCAAGCTAAGTATATCATCATGACTATAATTTACGTGATGTGACATGACAGTTAAGATGTACTGTGGTAATTTCTGAGAGCTTGCAGTATTATTGTAGCATCAAAAATTTATATGGTTCAGTTATTAAGGCAAATTGTTTCATTCATACTGAGATGCCTGACAGTAAACCACCAAGGGCTTCCACATTACATTAAAAAAAAGTCTTCCATATTCAAACAATTTGCACACCCTGTTACCATTATTTTATTCACTGAAACTGGAGCATAGGCAAGCATAGCTTTTTGATGTGAAAATGATCTACAGGGGAAGATGAAGTGTTTCATTGTGGGTGGTTATAAGAAACAGTTCAGCCAGGAGAAGGGAAGTTATCTTTGGGAACCAACAACCATGAACAGGATGTCCAAAATCTTTGCTCTGATGCTATTTAATATCCCATTTGCTTGCATTCCTTCTGTCAGTTTGATTGTCAGCCAACAGAAAGAAAAAGCATATGACCAAAGAAGAAATGATGGAAAATATGGCAAAGAATATTTCTATTACAAGTTATCTTTAAATAAATGTCACCATCATATTAAAAAAAAAAAAAAGAGGACCTCTGAAAGTCATTCAATTTTGACCCAAGCTCTTCTTGGAGCTCCTCAGAGCAGAAAAACAAATTTAACAGTTTATTTTTATATTTATTTTTTCGGCAATTTTAAGCAGTGGAAATTCAAGTCATATGTGCTATTTTATTCTTTTTGGAAATACAGGAGGTTGCTAAATAGAATAGGATAAAATGACTTTTTGTCATAAAGGGCCTTACAAATAAAAGTTTAATTAGATTTTATAACAGCTATTGAGTTTTATGCAACATACATTGTCTCTTAAAATACATATTCATTGAAAAATGTGTTTTATGCATTTATACATTTTTCATAATAGCATTTAGAAACCTGTTAAAAATAAGAAACTGTCCACGAGTTAAAAATTTTCAATCAACCAAAACCACCAGTTCCCATACACTGAGGAGTATATGAGTTACTAAGTTTTTCTATTTCAATATTCACATGCCACACAAGACAATCCCTAAATATACATATACTTCTATCTGTTTAATTGGTGAAGATTTCCTCATAAGTAATGCTATATTCTTATAGGTAAATGGCATCAATTCACTAAGGGATTTTCTTTTTCATCATCACATCTGGTGTGATAAGGTAATTTAACTATCAGCTGACATGGTATTAACTTTCATGGAACAGGCACATATTCACATTTAGAACTAAGCCACTAAATTTTGTTTCCAATCAAGCATTAGGCAAAATAAGATAAAATTCTAAACATCAGGACATCTATTTAGATAGAGTTAATCCTCAACAGGGAAAAAAAAAGTCTGCATTTCTGAGGTTGCTACATTTGTTTATCTGCGTGTTTTTATACACGTGTGGGCTTTAAAACAAACATATCCTTCCAATCTGGCACTTTTAGGGTGGCTCTCTGTCTGAGTTCCAGGAAATATGTTGTTTACACCAGCCTTGTGGCAAGCATTAGTTATGCCATATATTTCTTTTCCGATTAACACTCATACTAGGTAGAAGAAAAAGTAAATCTCTCGAGTACCGGTTTTGTAAAAGCGAGACAGATGAGAAAAACTTCAGTAAGTATCCCCCATAGACAACTCTATCAAACAGCTATTTTCACATAAGCACAACACAATCTCTCCCATATCTATAATTTGCTTCATAAAAATATCCTAGAGGCTTCATTAATTTGCTCATTCATTCAAAAAGTTTACATAGAACACCATCTATATAAAGCTGGGTACTAGGGACACCATGGTCCACTGATGTCGTGCACAGCGTGGGAGAAATGCCCAACTCGATTGATTCTATCTTGCTTTATTTCTTGTATTTTATTCCTTGACTTCATCTTTCTTAAAAAAAAAAAAACAACAAAAACACAGGATAAAGCCCATTCTCATGACCTGTCAGTTAAAGCAGAGTAGTGGGAAGCAAACCCCTGTGGACTTACTTTGTTTCCCAGATATGGAGCAGGTGCACTCCAGTAGTAGGTGGGCGGCAGGACCTGCCGGGCCTCAGTGTTACTGATGCTGACCTGCTGGGGTGCGTTTAGGTCGTCCTGCTGGGGCGCTATGCGCATGCGGCCGGAGATGTCAGTCAAATACCAGCCATTCATGTCTTGTATCTTAGAGAAAACACACAATCATCACTGATTAGGAAAAAAGAAATCCATCCGTTTATTTTCTCTTCCACATTTCTTGCCATGCCCATGCTTTGAATTTTTTTAAAAAAAGTAAACATTTAGAAAAAAATAAAAGTTGTGACTATAATCAAAGGTATCGCAAGTATTCATAGAGCTTCCATTTTTTTCCTTGATGTTTCCAGGAGTTTTCATGGTACTATATCATAATCTGTTTTTATTGATCCTATACTTGAAAAAAAAAAAAAAGGTGGTTCCAAAATCACTTTTTAAAAAATAGAAATTCATTCAGAGTCACACAATGGTTGTAACATTATACACTTTATGAAATAGTTGGACTTTGAATTTCATATTTTTCACTACACTAGTAATTTATTGTTGCTCATGGAAAAAATATTTCAGAAAGTGTTACATATGTATTTGTAAAGAAAAAAGAGAAATAAAATATGCAAGTACCTAAAGGGTGGCTTTTCATTCAGTATTTCCTCTCCTCCCACTTTTTAAAATTTCTACTTTGATGCTTAAGGACATTAGAATCCACCAGCCTGTTGCTATGACAACACCTCTCAATACTATATGTATTCCTTCGAATATGGTTGGAAGAGCTCTGGGGACCCATAGCCTATAGCTCCCTGGCCCAGACAAGGAAGGAACCTTAAAGGAGGAATAAGGGAATGCATAATGATTTGTTTTTACGTCTTTATACTCCAGCCGAGGTCAGGCATACAGCTACACCTCTAATTTAAACCATTCTACCTAATCAGGACAAAACACCGATGACTGAGATGTTAGGCTACCAGCTACCAGGGGTCTGTCCATTAGATGTGTGTGACCTGATGGGTTGCAATTGATGGGAAACAGAATGGTAACAGTGACAATATGGGGCTGAAATCTTTTTCAAATATCTTCATATGAAGATTATTTGATTCTGTTTGTACCAAAGCCGTGAAATCACTTGGATTGCCTCAAAAGAGAGATAGAGACCAGGTAAAAATGTATTGGCTTGTTAGACAACAAGCAACATACACCTTCCTTTCTTTCCCTTTCCAACATCACCCTTCAGGCATCCCAAGGCAGTTGAGTGGAATTCAGTGACCCCTGCTTCTGATGATCAAAGCTTGAGCGCCAGCTCTGCCCCTTGGCTGGCTGTGAAACTTTGATACCTCAGTAGAAAAGTCTGGAGGGAGGGGTGGGACTCAATAAATGAAATGAGGAAGTTAAACTAGATATCCAGTTGTGGTTGATTCTTTGAAGTCTGCTCTGAGAGCAGAACAGTTGATAAAGCATATATCATATTTCAGACTTGACTTAAAAGCCATACAAGCAGAGAAAAATATCTGGTAGTTGTGTTCAGGATTAGTTAGCTGATGAATGTTGAAGGGAAGAAGTGTTCGGGAGATCATTTATCAAAACAGCAGTTTGTAAAACACAACTCTGATCGTGTCGCTTTTCTGCTTAAAATCTGTCCATGACCCTCCAAGCAGAATATCCCGACTTCTCAGCATCCTCTATTCTGTAAGGTCCAGTGTCTCATTTCCCCTCTAGGCTTCTCTCCAGCCTACTTCCCACCACTCTGTACTCTCAGCCCTGTTACACGGGCTGTCTGACATTCCCTGGAGGTCTTATTTTTTTGTCTCTCATACCTCTTCTATGGGGGACAAAAATGCTCTCTGTACTGAGGTGAAAAGGCAGTGGGGAGTATGGACAGCGAAGTTAGAACGGTAAGCATGTTTATATATAAAGGAAGAAAATCCCAGTTACTATTAATAGCTTGAGTAATCATTTAAAGTTTTTCTATTTTTTTTCCAGGGTATTCACCAAATTGAAAGTTCCTTTTGAACAATGAAAGAGTCCACCAAAAGCATAAAAAACACTGCAGAGAGCACACAAAACAGACTGGTAAACAGAAAATGCAATTCTCGATATCACTATCTAATGTCTTCTTCATTAAATCATATGTCCTGGGGGTTGAAGCCACATTCATGCCATTACTGGTTCACGTACTAATCATAGACACTGAAAAGGTTAACATGTATCTATTCTAAGAGGCTCCAGTCTATACACGGTTACAAATAAAACCTTAAAGACTTTGAGTAAAAAATACACAATAGCATCTGAAGAAAATTCCATGACCTCTTCAGGGTAACTTTATGTAGAAGTTCACAGTTAGGAAAACAGCGTTTTAAATATTTTGTACAGAAGGACAACAATAACAGTAACGTGAAGGCCCCTGGAGGCGCATCCAGAGGCAAATGGCACTTGCTTACCTTGCCGTACGTCCAGTAGGAACTCTGACATCTGTTTGAAACCCCCGAACAGAAACACTCATCACAGCCTTTCGGATTATTCTCTTGCAAATTGAAGAAACCAGATTTGCAACGACTGCAGTCTCCTCCTTCAACGTTCTCCTGTAAAGAGAGAGGTGTTTCAGCTATAGAAGAACACTTCAGAATTGAGAGTTGTATCACTGTCTCTGTAAGGAAATTGTTACTGACATTCTTCATTTTACCTTCTCAATCATATTTTTAAAAATTTACCTTAAATTAAATTAAATTTTTCTTAGAGACAGTGTCTCATTATGTTGCCCAGGCTGGACTCGAACCCCTTGGTTCAGGCAATCTTCCTGCCTCTGCCTTCCTTTATTATCTCAATTCTAAAGTCTTTTTTTTTTCTTCTTGGAGAACAAACTTCTCTTTCAATTGTGTTTCTTTAGCCCTTTATACATTGCCCTATGATAACCACACACAAAAAGCATTGTTCTAAGGTTTTTCTCTCTGTAATCTACTCAGAGATAGAAAGCCTGTCTTACTTATCTTTATAGTTTGAGAAAATAACAGGGTACTGGGCACAACACTAGACACTAAATTCATAAATTTTATTATGTTTAAATGAAAGTTTAATAAAAAATATGTTTAAATAAACCCAGACTGTGCATAAGATAGGCATGATAAAATCTAAAAACATGTAAGAATAAGCAGAAGAGAAGAGAAAAATGGCATTAAAAATAAGGTGAAATTTGTAAGAATAAACAAAGAGGTTCTTATGTCCAAGATAATAATTTGCTTGAAATTAACTTTTTATGCTCTCAATTTCTAGGACCTATTATAAACTCAACCACTTCTACGTTGGTGGGAGTCTTACTTTTAAAGAGGTGTCTCTAGTCTTGTTACATGTGTTCGGCTTTAGCATCCTTATATGCAACACAAATTGAAGTATTGCCCACTAACATTCTTGCCAGTTTTTTTAACTTTTATTTTTAAGGTAGATTTCAGATATTTTGAGATGATAAATATCAGCAAAACGAATCAAACTAATTTCAGACTTATAGTGGCAAATAAATCCCCAAAGCACTGAAGTTGAGAGCATCTTCAAAAGCATGAAAGATGAAACATATCTATAATTATAATTTAGCTTATCCCATTGAGGAGACACAGTACAGCTGTTCTGTACACTGTGTTCTTATGTGTTCACTCTAATCTACTTTTCATTTACTCTAATTTGAAAGCTTATAGTGCTACTATTCTGAGATTCAGACTGAGTTCAACAATTAGAAATTTGTAGGCATTAGTTACATCTTCCTTAACTCCATTTTAGCCTGGTAATAGGACTTTGAAAAAAATTATGATTAAATAATTGCAGATTCACTTTTATTTAATAACCCAAAGTAACACATTAGGATAGGAATTCTAGACACTATAAAGATGGGTGAGTCAAGGTCTCTGTCTTTAAAAGCTATCTTCTAGCTGGGTAAAAAAATACATTCACAATCAACTATAATGCAAGGTAGAATACGGTAAGTACTTCTCAGAAACAGATCAAACTGTGGAACATAAGGAGAAGCACTAATTCCTGCTATGAAGGTTTTATGACAGGAGTGAAATTTGACCTAAACCTTGAAGCATTGTTTAAAAATTCAACTTGTTGGCAAAGACAGAATGAAAGACTCATGTTAGAAAAGATGTTAGAAACAGGAATTAATTTAAAAGGTAAACAGTTCATTCATTTTTTTTTTTTTTTCAAAGCAAAAGTACAAATTGAGCATCTCTAAACAAACAAAACAAAACAAAACAAAAAGACAACCTGACATCCAAAATTTGAAACTTTGGGAGTTCCTATATGACACTCAAAGGAAATGCTCATTGGAGCATTGCAGACTTCAGATTTTCTGATTCGGGATGCCCAACCAATATGTATTCTGAAAACATTCCAAAAGTCTAAAAAATCCAAAATCTGGAACACTTCTGATGCCAAGCATTTCAGATAAGGAATACTCTATTTGCATTTAATGCATCTTATATGCTAAGAATTTCACTTGCTACTTGAGATTCAGGGTCCCTACCCTCAGATAATGAACATTTAAGGCTATCCTAAGAGATAAGCACCTTCTCTTTCAGAAATTGGTAAGTCGTTAATGGTTGTCTGGTAGGAGATAAATCAACAGAACTATACCTGTCACTTAAATTGGCAGTAGTAGGTAAAAAACGTCTATGAAATGTAAGACACATTCATTACTATATGTATAGTAAAGGGTTGACTCAACAGGTTTGGGGTGTTCAAACCCTGCACATCACAAAGAATATTACACTATAGGGCAATAACCTATAAGTCCTTGGAATACATTGCCTGCTAAAAGTGTTTGTGTACCTTGGGCCTAGAGTCACACTAGATATTTTATGCTAACATTGCCATTTATCCTGAATGCCTGATTTTGTTCAGTTGGGGGCCCTGGTCCATGCTGTATCAGTTTGACTTCTAGGGATTCCAGAGACTGAGTATTAAGGTAAGTAATATGGACATTCCATATCTACATGACAGATCCCCCAGAAAAACACTGGATGCCAAGACTTGGGTGAGCTTTTCCAATTAGCATTACTTCTTCCAGGTGGTCACACATTGTTGCTGGTAGAATTAAACAGTCTGCAGAATTCCACTGAAAGAGGACAACTGGTGCTTGGTCTCGTCTGGATTCTTCCCTGTATATCTTTTGTCTTTGGTGAATTTAACCTATAACATTTTGTGCATCAAAGCATAACATGAATATAACAGCTTTTCTGAGTTCTCGAGTCTTTCTAATGAGCCATTGACAATTAAAGTGGTCTTGGGGACCCCTGATACACCATGATATACTCTTTTTATAGATTACTTTAAAAAACCTGTTAGAGGTCATTTTGCTTTGCTTATTGAAATAAATCTTTGAAACAAAATAAAAGGTCTCAAGCTAATCTTATTCTCTCTCCTCATGCCCAAATCATTTCAATCTTCTTTTTTTTTTTGAACTGGAGTCTCACTCTGTCACCCAGGTTCGAATGCAGTGGTACACTCATGGCCACCACAGCCTCGACCTGCTGCCTTCAGGTGATCCTTCCACCTCAGCCTTCCAAGCAGCTGGATTCACAGGCATGTGCCACCATGCCCGGCTGGTTTTTTGATTTATTGTAGAGGAGAGGTCTCACCATGTTGTTCAGGTTGATCGCGAACCCCTGAGCTCAGGTAATCCTCTTGCCTCTGCCTCTTAAAGTGCTGGGATTACAAGTGTAAGCCCCTGTGGCTGGCTTCAAACTTCTTCACGAATGATCATAGTCTTTTACAAAATTTGCAAGAACCTTACTCAATTTTGCACAGCATGTCTGCTTAATGCCACAACTTTAAGGTTCTAGTCTCTTGCTTTTTATTCCCTGAGTATACACTATACTTTTTCTTTAGTGAGTGGTAGTTTCTGTTAAATTAAACTAAAACTAGCTTGCGGATAACTTTGAACTGTGAGTCTCCATGTAATGAAATGCAACCCAATTTAATAAGTAAACAAACCAAGAACCAAACTAAGGAATATATTTGTTGAACAGATAACAGATGGTCTCAGTGAATCACAAGCAGCTGAGTTTCAGCCAGTCACAGGCTGCCAAATAAGACAAACACCTAGATATAACCAATCAAGCTATTTTTGTTCTTCTGTTTTTTTAATCTATAAATACTCATTGATCACATTAAGGAGGAGAGCTTTCAGAACCTTTTCTGGTTTTGAGAGCCACCTGATTCATGAATCATTCTTTGCTCAGAGAAACTAAATTAAATTAAATTTGTCAAAAGTTTCTTTCTTTTTTAACATTTCTAATCACATTGAGGTAGATTATCTCAATACCAAACTGCTAGGCTTTGACTGTTTTCAGGTTCTACTACAGACAAATATTAAACCATAACTAAATAGTAAAGATGGCCGGGCATGGTGGCTCATGCCTATAATCCCAGAACTTTGGGAAGCCGAGGTGAGAGGATTGCCTGAGACTACAGATTTGGGACCAGCCTGGGCATCTTGGCGAGACTTCAACTCTACAATAAATCCAAAAATTAGCTGGGTGGGATGATGCATGTCTGTAGTTCCAGCTACTTGGAAGGCTGAAGTGGAAGGAATCACTTGAGCCTGGCAGGTTGAGGCTGTGGTGGCCATGAGTGTGCCACTGCACTCCAGCCTGGGCAACAGAGTGAGACTTCAACTAAAAAAACCAAAAAAACTAAAAAAACCCAAACCAAAAAATAAATAGTAAAGATGGTGGATATAGTACCTGCTTGAGGGTACTACATAAGGGGACTTGAAACAAGTCATGGAAATATGGAATTAAAAGATAAAAATGAAAAGTATACATTTTATTTTTAACATAAGTTTTGTTAAGTTCAAGATTCTTTTGTAAACAATGATAGCAGACATTTAGTTCATTCCTAAAAAATGGAGGAATCTGGGAATTTAAGCATGCCAATGCAGTGTTTTTTACATTGTTATCTGAAGAAAAATTGGTGACCTTAAAATGTATTTTGAGATTAAAACAAAAAAAGTAAGAAAGAGTCAAATAAGGACTGTCAGGTGAATGTATAATGACTTTTCATTAACCTCTCACAAAATTGCCCCTGTTTGAGACGAAGAATGAGCAGAAGCATTGCTGTGGTGAAGAACTCTCTGTTGAAGATTTCCTGGGTATTTTTCTACTAAAGATTTGAGTAATTTTCTCAAAACACTTCTACAATAAGAAGATATTATTGTTATTTGACCATTAAGAAATTCAAACAAGCAAAATACTGACTGTTATCGTGACCTTTGCTCTTAACTATTTGCCTTTTGCTTGACTGAACCACTTCGACTTCTTGGTAGCCATTACTTTGATTGTGCTTTCTGTTCAGGATCATACTGGTAAAGCCATGTTTTATTCTGTTACAGGCTTTGATGAAATGCTTAGGATCTTAATCCCACTTGGTTGCAGTTTCCATTGAAAGTTCTCTTGTCTAGAGTTGATCCAGGCACAGTAGTTTTGGTAGCCATCAAATGGAAAGTTTGCTTAAATTTAATTTTCCAGTCAGAAGTGTGTAAGCTGAACAATCAAGATATCTATGGCTATTTGTGCTGTTAATCATCAGTCCT